GGCATAGCGAGCAGATCGAGGGACGTGATCGTTCCCCTCTATTCGACATTGGTGAGGCCTCATCTGGAGTACTGTGTCCAGTTTTGGGCCCCACACTTCAAGAAGGATGTGGATAAATTGGAGAGAGTCCAGCGAAGGGCAACAAAAATGATTAGGAGTCTGGAACATATGAGTTATGAGGAGAGGCTGAGGGAGCTGGGATTGTTTAGCCTGCAGAAGAGAAGAATGAGGGGGGATTTGATAGCTGTTTTCAACTACCTGAAAGGGGGTTCCAAAGAGGATGGCTCTAGACTGTTCTCAATGGTATCAGATGACAGAACGAGGAGTAATGGTCTCAAGTTACAGTGGGGGAGGTTTAGATTGGATATTAGGAAAAACTTTTTCACTAAGAGGGTAGTGAAACACTGGAATGTGTTACCTAGGGAGGTGGTAGAATCTCCTTCCTTAGAGGTTTTTAAGGTCAGGCTTGACAAAGCCCTGGCTGGGATGATTTAACTGGGAATTGGTCCTGCTTCGAGCAGGGGGTTGGACTAGATGACCTTCTGGGGTCCCTTCCAACCCTTATATTCTATGATTCTATGAGTCCTGACTTGACAGGCCTGTGCGTTAACCACTAGATGGCGATGTCTCCCACATGACACATTGACTCTCCCACTAAGTTATGAATTCAGAAGTTCTATGTGATAGGTGCGGCTGGTAGGACCACCTACTATCAAGGTTGCCCAACGCCTCCCATTATAAGACCCTGTTTTCAGTTGCATATCCCTTTGCCAAACTTTAACAGTTTGGACTGAAATTTTCTATGCCAGGTGTCCACTTCAAGCTGAATATCTTTGGAAAATCCCAATCAAACCAGTGTGGCCATACCCAAGAACAGGGCTAAGGACAAATCCATTGTTTTGCCCACATTAAAAAATCCTGGTGACCTTTTCTCCTTGATGCTTTGGCACAGGGTCTTGCAATTTGGCAGAAGGGTGGCCTGTGCATCAGGGATTGCCTTTTGCTGGCCATGTGAAAATCTGCCCAAATTTGGCCCAGTTATAAGCCTTTGAAAAAATCGCAGTTCACTTATGCTCAGTACAGACTTCTTAGATTTTAGCAGCTTAATTCCCTGAAGATTCTGCATGAACTGAGCATGCTCCAGCCCGGGACTGGACAGAACTTTCTCAGCAATTGCAGTTCTGGGCTTTTGTGAGCCAAGCCGGGTCTGGATCTGGGCACCTGAATTGAGAGGAGGGAGCCTGTCTGTCCGGCAGCGTGGAGGAGGAGTTCCTGACATGAATGCATAGGGAACAATAGCTGGACCTGGGGAAGTTCGGGGTAAAGGACAGATGTAGACCGGGGCAAGAACCCGGGGGGGAGGGGAGGGGTCTGACATGAGCTGGCCCAGGGACTGGAAGGGGCACAGGATGAGAGAGGGAAACTGGGACTGGCTAGCCAAGAACATTTTTGAATGCTTGACTTTGCAACCTTAATAAAGTTCTTTTAACATAGCTTGTATGTGAATTATATATGATGATACCGACCAGCACCTGGCTCTGGAACTAGAGGACATGGAGGACAGTCTAAGAAGACATGGCTATAAAAGGGACCATATAGGAGTTTCTACTTGTGACAAAATTTTAGGGGAAGTCAGAGTGACTGAGCTTTGTGACATTTTCCTCATTTCCTCCCCCGCTGGTTCTTCTTCCTCTTCAGTATTTCCTCCTGTGGGCCCTAACCAGGCAGCCTGTAACTAGCTGCTTTCTCTCCTGCTCTGTGCAATCAGCTACCGTTCAGCATCAGGACAAGTTATCTCTTGTGATGTGGCTAGAGCTGCCTGTTACCCTTATGAAGTAGCTACTGCTAGAGCGAGGGAGGGGCTCCAACAAACGCCTTGTCCAAACTCCCCCTGATCTTTGGGGAAGATAAGATCCAAAGCCTAACTCTACTGCCATCTCGATGGGCTGAACCAAAAACCTGGCTCTGGATACCCCAGATCTTTCCATCTGAATCCAGGCTCTGAGGCTCATGCTGGTCTCTCATGGCATCTCCCAATGTACGCCCAGAACAGTGAAAGCTTCTCCTGCACCATCAATGGTGCCTCTTACCTGGCTCTGGAGCAATCACACTTCTAGGGGATGACAAGAGAATTCAGTTTCCATGACCCATTTGATTCTAAGCCTCCCGGCCAAGACTGCCAGCAACAGGTCTGGTGGCCTGGGGGGATGTGGGCACCCTAGGAACTTGACTGAGCTCACTTGGGTGTACAGGACTGGAGAAAGGAAGCCAGAAGTTTCCAGAGGGATCTAGTTTGGGGTGACACCTGGAGCTCAGGAGTGCAAGCTGGTGGCTATTGGACATACACAGTCCCTCTCCGCGGGGAACCCTGGCCTCTCTGTATGCTCAGTATAGATCTCTTTCCTACAACTCTGCCTGCCTGCCACAGCACTTACTGCTAATGAAACAGGCAGCCTCCAGCCAAAACAGCCATGGCCCGTTCCCAAGCGGCAACAACGCACAAAGTCTATATGCCCCCTGCCCCACCGCTCACACCCAGCAGAACCTCAAGCTGCCCTGGGAGGACTGGAGAGCCCCAGAGAAAGCAACAGGCCACACAAGAACTGCCTGCCCTCCGCCCCCACTCAGCAGCAGGGACACAAGTGGCGCGGGCCTGGGGCAGGGAGGCCTGCAGCTCTCCCTCGTTCGGTTGTTCCCAATGGCGTTTTAATCACAAGACGCTCCTCGCCACATGGACGTAAAAATACGGGGGCCTGTCTGCCTGATGAGCCGTCTCTGGGCTGCTAGGAGCTGGAGATACCCTGTGGCTTGCAGCCCACATTAATATCTCATACCTGCTACGCTCAGGAGCTCCGGGCTTGAACGCCACAAAACCGGTGCTGTCTTGCACCCATTTCCCCCCCACCGTGAGCTCCCGGGGGGATGCGATGTGCGGCAAAAGCCAGTCCCATATCTCCCTTTCCTAGAAACTGTCCCTCCATCCCTAGCTGTCAGACCCAGTCAGGAGCGGGCTCGGCCCTCTGACCCATTTCGCGGTTGGAGCCACGGCAGACGTTAGCTATAGCTAGCAAAACAGCAGCTGATGGAGACGGGCTTTATGGAAACAGGGGAATCGTTAAAGTGGCCCACAGCAATCCCAGCGGGTGAGTGTGATGCTGGGGACGGTCTGCCTGGCCCCTGGCGAGGGAGACCGGAGGGCACGCCGGACTTAACCGTAGCCCAGCTACGTGCCAGCAGGAGGGGTGGCTTTATCAGGGCAAAGTCCAGCCTGCAGCCTCTGGGGCTGGGCAAAGCGAAAGTGAAGGTGGCGAATGCAGCTCCTCACCTGGGCTGGAGAGAGACGGGAGCCCCCAGCCCCAGCCTGCATCTGCACCCTCAGCTCATTAATGCCAACGGGAGTGGAGCGGCCTCCTAGGAACAGGCTCCTGGAATGGAGCTCCAAGGGGAGGGGGGGAAGGGATGGGAGAAATAGGCCCCCCACCTCAACACTGGGTGTGTTTGTGGGGGAAGGGATAACAACCCTTCAACCCTGAGAAGTGGAGGCAGGGAGCTTGTCCCCTCCACTAGGAAAATATCCCCTTTTTCCCAAGGGAGCAGAAACGGCAGCAAGTGAGAAGGGGGGCAAATGCAAAGAGGGGCAAAGTGCCGGAAGGGGGGAGGCGGGTGGGATGGGAGGGAGACTGGCAAGAAACCCTCCCCCCCACACGCAGCATGAAACAGGAGTCGGGAGGGGATCTCGGCCCACGCAGGGGGAGAAGTGAAGGGTGATGCTTTGTCTCGGCCCACGCAGGGGGAGAAGTGAAGGGTGATGCTTTGGGTCGTGCTCCACCAAGGGAAGGTTTAGTTCCCTGAGGGAGGGAGGAGCCACCTTGGGGAGGGACCTTGAGGCTATTCTCCCCCACAGGAAAACAGGGCTGGCTCCTGGCAGGGACCCCACAGGGTTACCCTCCAAAGACAGGCAGAGACAAAGGGCAGCCCGGCTGGGGAAAGATTCCCCCAGATCATGTGGGTGCCAGCCCGTGGGCAGAGTCCAGGCAGATAAACGACTGCACAATGCCATCTGAAAGACTCAGCAGCCCGGCCCTGACGTTCCTCCCCGCCCAGCCCGTCCCCACGGCAGAGTGTGTGCATACCCTGACACACGCCTTGGGGCTCCTGGCCCAGGCCGGGCGGGGTGCTAGGGAGTCAGACAAACCAGCCAGTCATTCTCCAGAGCAGGGGAAACAGGCCGAGCTGGGGGTACAAGCGAGGTGACAGGAAAGGCTCCTTCTGGTCCCAGCCCAGTGTCTTTAGGAGCTCTTGGCCTCCCTGCATCTCACTCCTCCCTGCTGCGAGGAGCTGGGCCAAGTGCCCCTTCAAGGACCTGGGCTGGCAGCCTCAGCCTCCAAAGCCCCATCACTCACTGCTAGGCCATGTCACCGAGGTGGGGGGGAGGGAAGGGGGACGGCGAGGAATCCCTGAGCCAGCTAGCCGCATTCCTCCAGGCTATAGCCACGCTGTGGCGTGTCCTGGGAAGTGCCGGACTTCACTCCAGGGACAAACGCGGGGCCAGATCCTGGGGGTGCAGCGTGCTCCTGGCTCCTCCAAGCGCAGTCAGCGCTAGGAGCCGCCGACCCGCAAGCCTTTTGCACGGCCCCGCAAGGTGCAGGGCAGAATCAGGCCCCGGACTCCCCGGGTGCTCAGCACAGAGCCGCAGAGGTGCTGGAACGAGGGATGCTACCGCACCCCCTGGCTTGAATCGTATACAGTTTAGTTCAATGGCTCTCAGCCCCCCACCCACTGTACAAATGGATCCAGCTCCGGTGGAGAGCTGTGGTGGGCTTTCGGATCACTTGGCCGGTAGCCACATCACTGCCCCCCACCCCGACCCTGCAGCCACCCAGAGGCACCCTGAGGCTCTTGCCGTGCCAGGAGCTGCCTGGATCTCTCCCCGCTGCAGGTGGCCGGGGGAGACGCTGGCAGGGGCAGGCCCCACCTTAAAGCCCCAAAAGTCGACTTACATGCAGAGGCGCCCGGAGAGCTGGCAGCCCCGGCCTGCGGAGGCGCATGGGTTGGCTCGGAGATCCTGGCCCCCCAGGGTCCGCCCCGAGCTCGCTTCCTGCCTGCCGAGGCTGGGCAGGGCCGGGCTGCGTGTGACCGTGCGGGAGTCTCGGTAAGAGAGCAGGAAATGGAAATTAAACCCGCTCTCCGTTTCCTGCTCGCTGCGGCAGCGAGCGCGGTCCAGGCTGTGCAGCCCCCCCGGGCTGGGGGGTGGAGAAGCCGGCAGCTCAGAGACCCGGCCCCCGGGGAGGAGCCGAGACTGCGGAGCTACTGCCAGGAGCATCCTTACGGGGCAGGATGGAAAAGCTGCAGGATTAGCCCAGCCTGCCTCCGAGGGGCTGTCACTCCCCGCCCAGAGCCGGGGTGGGACCCAGGCGTCCTGAGTCCCTGGCCCCTTCTGTGACTAGGAGCCCTCCCTCCCCTCCTGGAGCTGGGGTTAGGACCTAGGGTTCGGGGCTAGGGCTGGCTGGAAAAAAGTTCTTTAAAAGTTGCCAACATTTTTCAAAAGCGTGTCTGTTTTGCGGCGTTCAGAATGGACCAACTCCCTTTAAAAAAAAACAAACAGAATTGTCACTGAAACTATTCTTGGCTTGCAGAAAACTCAGCTTTCAACACACACAAATTTCTGAGAACTGTTTCTATAACGGTTTGGTTGCAAAATGTTGCAGACAATGTCACAACCCTTCCCCCAACACACACATACCAGCCCCCCCACCCAAAAAAAAGACAACAGCTTTTTGCCATTTTTTTGGTCTTTTTAAGGCAATTGTTTGGGATGGGGGAGAAAAAATTGTGTTTGAAAATATCTGGCTAGTTCCAGTCCCAGCTGGGCACTCAGACTACCCTGTTAGCCACCACTTCCTCCCCAAGCTGGGCACAGAACCCAGGAGTCCTGACCCCCAGGCCCCTGCTTGAGCCATCTGCCCTTTAAGTTAGCCCTGTCAATGTCACTCAGCCTGTACCTTTTACAAGGCTCCAAGGACACCCTCACCTCACATGCTCCTCAGCCCTGGGAGTGGGGAAGGTCCCAAGGTGAAGAGAAGAGGGTCCCCTGGAGGAACAGGGTGCCCCGCCTGTAGGAGGCACAGGAGACCATGCAAAGCCCAGTGCCCAGGATGCTGCTGCGTGGGGCTGTTAGAATCCTTTATCTGCCCCTCCCTTCTAGTCTCAGGGCTTCAGGCAGGGGTGCAGGAACCATGTGGATAGTGGGGGTGCTGAGAGCCATTGAACCAAACTGTCAACCTTGTCAGTGATGGACACCACGTCAAGCCGGGGGGGGGGGGGCACTGCCCCTAGTTCCAGCCCCTCTGGCTTCAGGGAGAGGCTGCTGCTGGCAACATCACCCCCGCGCACACACAAGGGCAGACACCCCCTTGCACTGGGGAGCTGCTCCCTGGCCTGTCCCTCAGGCAAAGAGAGCAGAACATGCAGGAATCTGGAAGCCTCCCACCGCAGGAGCCCCTCATCCTTTGCTCCCTGGCTGGCCGTGCGCCATATTTAACCCTCCCCTGGCGCTCTCTTTGGAGCCATGGGGTTTTATCCATCTGAGACCTTGTGAGGCCCCTTTGTTGTGGTGCTCTCAAGCCCTCTTCCCCTGCTGTGGGGCTGGCCCCATTGAACTCAGTGGGAGGCTGGGAGCAGCCCAGCTGAGGCCCATAGGCACCCCCTCTAGCGCATGTTGCAGGATCAGGCAGTAGCTAAGAGGAGGGAAGCCCTATGCCTCGTGTAATGAGGCACCTGCCAGGCAGGCAGACCACAGAAAGGGGGTGACTCTGGGCAGGTGGCAGGGCACCATCCAATGTGGTACCCCACATGCCTCCGAGCGGGTGAGGCCAAGGGTGTACCAGCAAACACAGCTAGGGGACAGAGACCTGCTAGCATCCCCCAGCTACTTCCTCCCAGCCCCATCCTTCATCTCTCTTACTCTGATCTCCCTGCTCTGCCTAGCCCAATTCCTGACCTCTCACGCCCCTCCCCCATCCCTCCTTAAAGCCTGCCTTCCCTTTATTATTAGTTATCTTACAGTAGCACCAGCGGGCTCCACCCGGGATCAGACAGCCCTTCCCCAAAGAGCTTCCGTTCCAAATGGATAATGTGGTCAAAAGCGGGGTGGGGAAACTGAGGCACGGCAAGGGGCAGCAGCGCGCCCAGCGGCTCTCACAAAACACAGCCCCACTGACTCCCAGCCCACTGAGCCGCACTGTCCACAGCCCTCCCTTCTCCCCGCCCCTGGCTTGTGCTCATCTGACTAGTTTAGAGCCGTGGTACTCAACCACCAGTACGTGTACCCCGGGGGGACCTCAGCTCACCTAGACAGTTGCCTAGTTTTACAACAGGCTGCACAAAAGCCCGAGGGAAGTCAGCACAAACGACAACATCCTGCAGCCAAGGACCTGTTTATACCGCTCTCCGTGCTGTACCCCGAAATGTCAGTGCAGTATTTCCATTCCAGTGGATTTATTTTGTAATTACATGGTCAGCCTGAGCAAGCCAGCCATTTCTCAGTACTCCTGGCTGTGACGCTTTTCTGTGTTTATGTCCGATTTTGTAAGCAAGTCCTTTTGAAGAGAGGTGAAACTTGGGGGCGGGAGGGGGGTACGCAAGACAAATCAGACTCCTGCAAGGGGTAGGGTTGAGAGCCCCTGGCTTAGGCGGAGGGGAGATGGTCCAGCTGGCTGTAAAACGCAGTTACATTTATGTCACACACACGCACCCCCAACTTAACAGGCATCACCCCCCCCCAATTTCACAAGCACCCCCCAAGTCCTGTAGGCCCCTCTCTGGCTCCTGGCCCTGCCTCCAGCAGCCCTGCAGGGTTTTTATAGGGGCAGGTTAAACTTTAAGGCGTTTGTTGACAGAGCTGGGGGAGGGCGGGGGGGGGGCAGGGACCCTTCCTTGGTCTGCTTATTTGCCGAAGTTACGCTGGGGGGGGGGGGGGGGGTGTTCTACTTGTGTCGGACTCGGCGCGGTGTGTTTCTGAATGTCTGACCCCCCCCCCCCCCGACCCCTCCTCGGGGTAGCTCGCCCCACGTGCTCCCCCGAAATCAGTCACGCAGGGCCAGGAGAAAGACGGGACGGCGACTTACAGCTTGTGGGTCAAGCCGGCCCCGAAATCCTCTGCTGGACTCCATTAGACCTTCCCCACCCGCAGGGCGGGCCGTCCCGCGCCCCGGCGCTGCTCCCGCCCCGGCGGCCGGGCAGCCTCCAGCAGGTGCGGACAATCCCCGGGGCGTGGAGCGAATCAGGCGATCGGCGATTTCCTCTTTCTTACCCGATCAAAGGCAGGGAGAGCAGAGTGCAGGGGTCCTGGGCTGTGCTCAGCCAGACACATTAAGCCTGGACATCGCCTTAATTTCCTGGCTGGGGTTTCCCCAGCTCCTCGCAGGCAGCTAGAGAAACTGCCCCCTTTAATGCCCACCCCCACTGATTACTCAATTGTAAGCGTTAGGGGAGGGAGAGCATCTTTCTCTGTGCGATGCACCTGGTGCCCCTTCCTGGATGCTGCCTTCCAGCAGCTCAGCCCTGGGGCCAAGCATGGGACAGATTTAGATGGCAGAGCATACCATTGAGCAAGCAGCTGATGTCCTAGAATCATAGCATAGCAGGGTTGGAAGGGACCTCAGGAGGTCACCTAGTCCCACCCCCTGCTCAAAGCAGGCCCGATCCCCAATTTTTGCCCCAGATCCCTAAATGCCCCCCCCAAAGGATTGAACTCACAACCCTAGGTTGAGCAGGCCAATGCTCCAGCCACTGTGCTCTCCCTCCCCCAGGGTGTCCGAACCTTACACCTTCAGCGGCTTGGTTACAAGTATGGGACCCTTCTGCAAACGGCTCAGGTGAGAGCCCCCGTGAGGATCGTAATAGCAACCAGCCGATAGATCCACAGAGAAGTAAAGGTAGCACCACGGTTTGTTCCGAGGAGTCCATATGTTAAAGCATCTCCCTTGTACCTGATGGGGGGGGGGTATCTGTCTCTCTTTTCCCTTCCCCCCCATGGGGAGGAAGTGAGTCTACACACTCACGCAGAGCGTGTAGACAAAAGTGGCACTTGTGCCCCTAGCCCTTCCCCCAGGGGGAGGATTAAAGCAGAAACCAGCAGCTGCTTGGGGAGAGGAGGCTGTATCTAGTCAAGAAGGGAGAGAAAGGGGCTGAGGCCCTTCAGGGCAGCTCAACCTGGGGGTGGGGGGAGAGAAGAGAAGGCCAGGAGCTGGGTGGAGGTACCTACAGCCTCCCACCCCTCCACTATCACACCCCCCCTTAGCCCATCATAGTACAAGGGACCCTTGCACCAGACCCAGCCTGGCAAAGCCCTGGCTGGGATGATTTAGTTGGTGCTGGTCCTACTTTGAGCAGGGGGTGGGACTAGATGACCTCGTGAGGTCTCTTCCAACCCTGATCTTCTAGGATTCGGCTGACAAGGGACAATCTGATACTGCTGAGCCCAGCTCTCATGGGTCCAAGTTGGGGCAGGGGTCCCTTTCACATCAATAAGCCTCCTGGAGCCACCCTGCAGCTTGTAGGAGGGAGGTTTGTGTTTCTCCAAAAATCCAAACCCCTTTTCCCCCCTATTTTTATTATTTTATTTTTAAAATTAAGCCCAGGGTGGCATGCTGTCTCTCGCGGGCTGCGTCTTCGTCCTCTCTCATGCTAGGAGTTGGGGGTTGGTGCTGGCTGCTGTTTCTGCAGCTCCAGAATCCGCATCAGAACCAGACATGAGAGCCCCAGGAAAAGCAGCCCCAGGAAAAGCCAATAATGCTGGGGCAGAAAGACCCAAGGCCAGGGGGTCTCTTTCCCACATGCCGTAGACCTGCCAAGAATGAGATTAGGACATTTATCATCCCAAGGCGCAGAGCAGATAGAATAGACTTCCCACATCTCCCATCCCATGAAAACACTAAGCAGCTGGCAAAAGGGTACAAAAGCAGGGGTTACTTCCGGCTGCTATTTAAATAGACCACATCCTGTCTGTCTACTCATGTAGAAGTAACACCTAATCTTACTGTATATGAAAGACGATAGAGGAAGTTCTTTTCACCAGCTCTTCTGAACTGCACGCAACCTGCTATGAAGTCAGGTGTGCTGATTGCCCTAGCAATTGGTGTGGGTCTTGGCACCAAGGGAGCAAGATTTGAAGGAATATGACAAGGCAGCTGTACAACGGCCCAACTGTGAAAAGGATCAAGGGGCCAGGACAGGACCTGACACTGCTTTTAATTCTGCTTTTGAAACTGACTAGATTTCAGGCTGTCATCTGCATCCCTTTAATTCCACCCCACCCCACCCACACAAATGTTTGAAATGTAAAGGGTCTCCTGCGGTCAGAGATGCACATGCAGGAATTTCTCTGTATACAGTACGTCATGGGGGGAGGGCTCTGGAGTCCAAGGGGAGGGGCTGGGCGCTATGTGGGTCTGAGATGGCGTGAGCTCACGTCAGACTAAGCTGCTCCCGCTCCTCCGTCAGCCCGCTGCTGTCCGATGCCCCGTCAGGTTCCTCCTTCATGGGCTTGCTGGTGCTTCCCCTTCTCCGCAGCTCCGGCTCGCTCCTGGGGAGGAAACACAGGAGGGATGGTTACTGCCAATGCCCCCTGAGCCTCAGAGGCCAGTGGTCCATCCAGTGCAGGATCCCCTCTCTGGCCTCCACTGACATCAGGTGCTTCAGAGGAAAACTGAAGCCCAGACCACATTGAGGTGTGGGGCACAGCCCAATCAGGGCAGGGTCAGGAGGGAGCTGGCCTGATAGAGCACTTGACGCACCCTTACCCTTCTGCGTAGCGGCCTCTGTTGCCCTCACACTCGAGTCTGTCTGCCTCCGGCTGGCTTTGGTGCAAGGAGCTGGAGGAGTCTGAGTGTAGGATGAAGTATCCATCAGGAGAGTCCTCCTGGAGGCAGCAGGTTCGCCTGCGGACCAGAGGGGATCCAGTGACGCCCTGGGCTGACCAGCCTCTGCCCTTCTGTGTGCGAGTGGAGGGCTTTGCCCCCCCTCCCCCGCCCACGTCCTTACATTTATTATTAATGGTCACACGTTACCTCTCTGTGCTAGGGCTGCTCTCCCACGCCGCCTTGGCCGCCTCCCCCTCGGGCGCTCGCCCGCTTTCGGGGCTGGGAAGCGGCTGCAGACAAAACCCAAGGGACAGCGTGAGCGAAACGAAAGAACCGGAGAGGAAGCCAGAGCTGTGCGTGCACAGGGGTGTCCAGGAGGGGCGGGTGGGAGTGGCCAGGCAGGAGCGCACGGCAGCGGGATGTGCTGATGCAGCCGGTGTCCGTGTGTACGCAGGGGAGTGTCGGGGAGGAGCGTGGGGGCTGCATGTGACACACGTGCTGACATGTGCACCTGGGGCGCCAGGAAGGAGCGCGGGGGCTGCGGGACAGCGCGTGGCAGTGAGCCTGCGAGCTTGTCCAGTCCGAGTATTCATGAGCAGGCGTGCAGTGGGCTGATGGAACAGGAGCGCGTCTCTGGCACGTGGCGGGACAGCACCCGTAGGTATGGCGTGAGCAGGCATGATCCCATGCACGGTTTTGCCCCAGCCGGCACGCAGCGGGGTTCCTTACCATGAGCTGTTTGGGAATGACGGCGATGCTGACTCTCCGACGTGCCGACGCCTGGGAGGGAGGGAGGGGAAGCTCTGTTAGTGCTGAATCCCCCCGTTCTGCTCCAGGCAGCAAATGGAAGGTGGGCGCTAACTCCCCCGTAGGGCACAGTTCCCACTCAAGGGTCCTGCCATCCTTGTCTCCCCATCCCCCTCCCCTTAACTCCCCCCTGCTTGCCAGCAGGAGTGGCACGGCATGATGAGGGGGTGGGATGTCACTCATACCATCCCCGCCGCTGTGGGTGCAAGAGTTGGTCCAGGCCAACCCTCCTCTGGGCTCACTCTGGGGCCACTAATGGGCCTTGGATTTTCAGCTGCAAGGGCAAAGATTGCCCAACCCCCAGGAGAAGATCAAAGGCCAGGCAGAGGCCCACAACGGTCCCCCATACCTACCACCTCAGGAAAGGCTTTGCAACTGCCCCACTCTACCCCCCTACACTAACCCATGCAGGCCACCATCCAGGCTGGGCCTGGCCCAGTGCCCGTCACCTCGAGCTGCAGGGGAAATTGCTGCATATTATGTTCAAACTGCTGCTAGAGAACCACCTCCTTTTAGCCAAGTCTCTGCCTCTCGCTCTGGATACTGGCGCTGGACAGCCCTGCGCGAGACGGGCCCACGGAGCAGTGGGCAGGGACAGAGGCTGGGAGACAGGCGCCCTCGTTACCTGCTGGAACGTTCGCATCAGGGGCAGTTTCAATCTCTGCTCTCCGTCATCTAAGGAGACAAAGGGGTGGGGGTTGCTCCAGAGGTGGCCCGATTGCTTCTCACGCCTTGGGTGACTAGCTCCATCTTGCCACCTGCATACCAACCACCCAGGCCTGCTCAGTGCCCTGCTGCCCCCTCAGCTCTGTAGACATGCTGTGTCCCCAGTGGCTTCTGGGGGAATTTGCCCAGCGGAGAAGCTCAGTGTGGACGGAGCAGGCTGTTGTCCCAAAGGTCCATTTGGTTGGATGGTCGAAGTCCCCGTAACTCGCAAGGCAAAGGGCTGCTCAGCCAGGAAATCCTAGAGCCTCCCACACAAGGGCCTGGGGAGTGGAAGCGGAGAAGGGGATATCGGATGCATTGCACCCCCTGCCCCAGGGCTAAGGGGCCTGTAGCACTGACCCCGCATGCTGCTGCACTCCCAGCGGTGCTACCTGGCTGCCCGCTGCGGCCAGGACCGAGCACTCGCAGACACTCAGGGCTGGAGGTCACGGTTAGCCCCCTCTGATAGGGCCCTTCTGTGGTTTAGACATCCGGCCCTGTGACTGCAGCCAACAGCTGTCACCAGCGGCACGTGGATGCCAGGGACCAGGTGGACTCCTGGTGCGAGTGGGAGCAAATGGTTCTAGCATGTGCCTGCCTGGGCTGAAAGGGACTCGGGTCACACAGGCCATTGGGGACCAAGTGACCCGCCCAAGGTCACGTAGTGAGTCAGTGGCAGCACCAGGAATCCTGACGCCCAGCCCCGAGATGTAACCATTACGCCACGCTCCCTTCCCGCTGCTCATGCCCACCCCCGGGGCTGCTGGGCCCACCGCACCCCTGTTCTCAGCCAGCTGCCGGTTGCGGGAGTTCTGCTGGATCAGCCGCTTCATTTCCTCCAGCTCCGTGTGCTCCCGCAAGTGATGTCTCTTCAGGTTCTCCACATGCTGCACCATCACCTCTGCTGCCCGGCTCATCCGCGCCTCCTGGGGCAGAGAGCGGGGAGTGGGATCAGGCCGCCCGGCAGGGACACTGCTGCAAAGCCTGAGCCCCCTCCCCGGGCGACTGCCACCCCCTTTGGTTCTATTCAGGTTCTTAGACCAGGCCCATCGCCATGGCGTCGGAGCTCACGCAGAGCCCGATAATGGCACTGACTTTAATGGGAGCAGACCAATTAGCCAACCAACAGAGCCCAAAGCAGCGCTGTTCAGACAACCCGAAGGCCTCCCGGGGGCTCCCTCCCCCTTGGCACTCCCCACCCCCAGCTCCTTGAACGCGAACATCCACTGCTGCATCGTCATCTTGAGGACTCCCAAGTGCTTCCCGTGGGCCAGCAGATGTTCAGATTAGCCCCTTCCTGCTTCCCCCACTGCCAGGGGCAGAGGAAGGCAGGATTCCATTGCCCTGGCCAGCTGGGCTCAGGCACAAGGAGGATCTGGGACCCAAGAGCGAGCAGGAGGAAGACAAAGCGAGGTGGGAGCTGGGGCAGGAGCATGTGAGATAACAGGCCAGCTGGTACATGGTTAGCATCTGCCCCTGTGCTGGCCAGCCTAGGAGAGGAGCTGTCACTAATGCCAGCAAGCCCAGGGGTAGATCTGCCAGCTAGCTGAGGAGGGTGGGGGCCAGGGGCTGTGAAGCCAGCCCAAGAGAGCAGGTTGTGTAGAGCTCAGCAGGAGTGTGTTGGGTTAGCCTCGTTGCGATGAGCCTCCCTGCTCCCCACGGTCAATGCAGCATTGGTCCCCTGTACCACGCTCTCCAGTGATGGGGCTGGGGAGCAGCCTGGACACCTTCCCACCCTGGGCTCTTGCAGCTGCTGGACCCACCTGATGGACGGCGCCTAGCTTCTCCGCCGCGCTCGTCGCCCGCTCAATGGACCCCGCCAGCACCGTCAGGCTGAGCTGCAACTGCCTGACCAGCTCCTTGCACTTAGGGTCGACGCAGGACAGGCCCAGCCTCTGTGGGGGGGGAGGGAAACCAGCAGCAGCTCTGCATGATCTGCACAGGAACCAGGCCCCTCCCTCGCTGGACTATAATAGCAGCAGCCTGCAAAGAATTCAGCCCAGGAAATGCCCCAGCTGGACTAGGACACCCCAGTTCCAGCCAGTTCCGCACCAACAGCCCAGCCGTTCATCCAGCGTTGGTGGATGTGGCCAGAGGAGAGCCTAGGCACGTCCCTTATCCACGGAGCAGGACAGCCCGGGCAGCAGCAGGACCAGCTCCCGCCACTGAGCCAGATCACTGCCGAGGCCAGTGGGAGTCACCACAGCTGCAATGAAAGCTCGATTCACAGCAGCTGAGAACCTGGCCCCCCGCCCCGGCGGGACATCCTCAGGTGGAAGCGTTCAAGCCTCTCTGCTGAAGTTACCAACACTGAAGGAAGGTGCTAGGATGCGGACAACTCGCCAGTAGGAACTGAGCTGGGATCCACAGGCTAAATTGCACACCGGCCACCAAAGAGCCAGTGAGCCGCACTTGGCTTTGGGCCACTGCCCCAGCAGGGCAGGATTTGAACCAACAGCCTTGAAGCGAAAGGCTCGGGATCCCATTGCCAGTGCCACGAGCCAGCCAACTCCCCAGGCCGGAGAGGACTCCCTGCGCCCTGGAACGCGCCAGCGGCCACATCCGAAGCCAGGGCGATCCGGAGCGCAGGGCGTGACAGTGACGGCCATGCAGGAGTCAGCACCTCTCCCAGCGAAAGAAACGCCCCCCCCAGGGGGAGCCTTAAAACTGCCAAGAGAATCTGCATCATCGGCACCTGCGGGGCAACATGAGTGACCTCACCTGCTCCCCACTTGGGAGACTGGCCAACAGAGCTGGGATCAGATCGAAATCAAGCCCCGGACATCCCTGGGGCACGCACAGCCAGGATCACCCTCCCCAGCAAGGCGCCCCCTCACCTGGCCTCACTGACCTGCAGCGCTGCCCGGCACTCCTCCAGCTCCTGCTGAATGTTCTCCTCCGCCACGTCCCGCGCCCGCTCCTCCACCTGCACCCGTCGCCGCAGGGTGAACATGTCGCAGCGGAAGGCCAGTGCCAAGTGCGTGAACGCTGCCTGCAGAGGGGAGAATGGGGCAGGGGTCAGAGGTCATCTTTGATCCATGTCCACAAAGGACAGGGACACCGTATGTGGCCAGGAGCGGGGCACTAAGGGTGCAGTGGGGCAGGTGTTTCTAGGCACAGGGGAAGGAATAGGTTTGGCTGGATTCCTTTGGTAGAGCCAGGGGAAGCCACTTCTCCCATTTCACCCCAGCCAGTCCCTCAATCCCACCGCCCCATCCTGGACAGCTCCAGCACCACCCCACCCCTCAGCGCTCACCCCTCCTGCTCTGTTCAAGCAGGCAACGGGAAGCGCTGGGAGCTGTTTGCACAGCCCCCCTCTGTTCTACGTGCGCCTGACTGCAGTCACACCGGTGGGTTTACACTGGGGTAATGGGAGAGGAGAATGGGGCCCTTTAACCGGCACATCAGTGCCGCTATCCCAGCGGGACTGCGCACACAGCATTGCGGGAAGGGTGGTCTTCAGGGTCTAACTGGGGGAGAGGAGGTCTTTGCCTAAACTGGATCAACAAAGTGGCATTTTGCTGAGCTAGCAGCTGAGTGCTGGAAGCCCTGCTGGAGGCTGGCAGCTCCTCCCCTGCAGACAGCACAAGCCAGAGACCCAATCATCCTCATTAACTGAAATCTGAGCAGCTGCCAACTGAGAAACAAAGCCCCAGGCCACCCTGGCACTCAGGGGACAGCCATCATCCTCATCTACTGATTTAGTGGGGCCTTTTGCGAGGCTCAGAGCACTTGAAAGAATTACCAAGTACTGTACATGTGCACAGAAGGATCACCTCATTTAGGACTAAAATGCAGCCACCTCTGGGCTGGAACACAGCAGTCATTTAAATGTGTGCGTCAGTGTCACTGTTTGGAGGAGGGTAAGTGGAGCATTTCTGTATGGGGTTGAAATGGCTAAGGGAATTCAGGTATGAACGAAAGGAGGAAGAATGAGCTTGTGGTTTTGGCCCAGGACCGTGAATCACGAACTCTAGGCTCTGGGACCCTGGGCAGGTTGCTTCCCCTCTTGTGCCTCACTTTCCCCATCTGTAAAATACAGACCATTCAATCCTTGGGGTCTCTACTGAGATTGTGAATTGGTGAGCCTGCAAAAAATGGGTTTCTTGGGGCAGGGCAACCCCAACAGCCTTCAAATGGCCATAATAACCAATTCTGGTCACTGCTGGATTTGACCTGTGACCTAGAGGTGAGCATGGCTATGCCTCAGCTCCACTCTGGCCAGTGGCCTGATGTCCCAAATGCCGGCGCTGACCCAAGGGGGCTGTTCCAGGCTGTAACCATATTTCTTGCTGCACACGGGGACCCTGGTTTAACCCATTCACTGTCGCCATTGGCCTCAGTGAGAATGCACCCCAGTGTCTGGGTTGGAGGGGGAGATGCACGAGGCAGCCTGGGTGATGAAAGCCCGTACACCCAGCTAGAGGGGACAGTTCTCAAGTGCATCGGTCTCTCATTGCAACGGCTGATGGGCAGAGCTTACCTCCACGTCCTGCTCGGTCAAAGCCACTCTGCAAAGGAAGAGCACACATGGCCGTCAGTGACGCGGGTGACTTAGCGACGTGCACCACTCAGAATTTACGTCCTAGCACCCAGCCAGCCTGGTTGCAGCCAGCGCCCATGGCCTGGCGGTGCCCAGCAGGTAGAGGGCGGTTCCCAGAAGTGCCCTTTTCCTCTGGGACACGGTTTGCCAATGAGCCCTGTGCACCCTGTGTCCCGGGAGAGAGTAGTGCGGCCCGAGCGAGTAGAACTGGGCACGCTCAGGGAGGCTGGGTGTGGTTCAGGATACACAGGTCAGGGGCTGGCTTGACAGAAGTCCTGCGTTTATACACACAGCAGGTGCTAGTCAGGGAAGCCTTCCCAGGCCCACCAGTGGGAGCCAAACCTGCCCTGGGAGGGACCCCCTTGTAGGGCTGAGGGAGGAGCCTTTCCTTGGCCTCTCTGCTGAGTGTTGGGGCCGGAGCAGAGCTGGCTGGGACATTTGCACTGCATTGTGCTGTAGTGCGGAGATGCATCGGTTGTGTGTCCTCGGGAAGGTTTTTGGGGGCTGGGAAAGAGGAACAGAGAGTGGTTGACAATGTAGCCGGGCTGTTAGGGCCCCAGCCTGCAAGGCCACGTTCACAATCCAGCTCTGCCTGATTTGGAGTCATCTGGGAAGCACTCAAATCAGGCACAGCAGGGACCTGAACCTGGGCTCCCCCCATCCCAGACCAGGACCGTATCCAGCAGGCTGTAGAGTGACTGATGTGAATGCACCTCGCCCCCGGCACAAGCCTGTCTCCGCAAGAGGACTCCAAAGGTTTGGGTTTCATTCCAGCTAGAACAAGTTGAAAACCCTGTGAAGTGGCCGTGAAACAGACCAGTCAGCCACCTCCTGCAATTGATGCCCATTGTGGCAACCTGTCTGCTGGGAAACATCTCACCCTGGGGCCAACCTGCCAGAAAATGGGGACTGCCCAGTCATTGCCAACCCGGGGCCTGATTCTACCTCCTGCAGGATATGAGCAACTCCCATCTGCTGCAGGAGGAGAAGGGGGCCCCTGCACGGGATTTGAACCAGCAACCCAGAGGTGAAAGGCTCTGTACCCCATTGCCACCTTGGCTATTCTTATGACTGCCTGCGCAAGGCCCACCCAGCAACCAGCTCACCTAAAGCTTGAAACCTTCCAGCATCTTGGGCACACACAGAGTTTAACCCCAGAGAGGAGGAAGGGCAGGAATCCTACCTGTGCAGGCCCAGCCGCTCCAGCACCGAGAGCTCAGGCAGAGAGTTCAGCAGCGGGTCCTTGGGAGGGTCAGGATCTGGGGAGGAAAAAGGGCCACAGTTAATCCAGAGAGCCCGAGAGGAGGAGAAACAGTAACCCCCTGGCGGTCTCCATGGGGCCAGGCTGCTTCTCATGTTCACTCAGCATCCGTGCATGCTGCAATCAGGGGATGTGACCAGAGCTTAGGTGCTGGAGTAGTGAGACTGCAGCAGCCAGGGCTTTGGCGCAGGCTGGACCAGCCTACCCTGGATGCTGGGTAAAGGACCACAGTGGTTTGGGCACTGGTCTGGGACGCAAGAGACCCCGGTTCAGTTCCCTGCTCTACCAGATTCCCTGTGTGGCCCTGGGTTTGTCATTTAGCCTCTCAGTGCATCAGTTCCCTGATCTGTACCAGGGGGATAACAGGCCTGCCCCACCCCACCGCGGGATAAATACAATAAAGATGGAGGTGCTCCGATGCCGTGGTAACGGCAGGGGACAAAAGCCCTGCCTCAGTGGGGATGCCGTGGTAACGGAGGCCAGGGAAGTATCCTAGACTGCAAAGCAGCCCCAGGTAGCAAATTACACAGTGGCGGATAGAGAAGGGCCCATCCGTTCGCATCACTGGGACAGGTCCCGCCCTCCCTTGGCGAGAGTCACACTGGGCTTCTACCCCTCAATGGCCCGGCCGCTGGCTAACAGCTGGTGAGATGTCACAGCCAAGAGCTCCGAGGACCACGGTGCATGTTGGCTTCCTACACAAAGACGGGCCCCAACCCCAGGATGCCCCGTTCAGACAAGTAACACCCCTTCCAAAGCTTGTCGAGGCTCCTCTCCTCCGACTCTCTTCTATAGCGTATTCCCCCCTTTTCCTCAAGGCAACCGGATCCTCCACCCAACCGATCCCACCTCCCTCACTCTGGGTCCAGGGGAGTTTCTGGATCTGGGGGATGGCCCCATTGTGGGGGAAGGAGAAGGGATGCTGGCGGTTGGGGGTGTAGCCCCTTCTCCTCACTGAACTATCCCTAAGTGTGAGAATCCTTTCCCAATCTTTATCTGGACTCCAAGTTCCCCCTGCGTGGCCCCTCCCACATCTGGTCTCTTCTTACCCAAAGATTATCCCACCCAATGAGGCTCTGCCGGTGCTAATCCTAATCCAGTTAGGATCATGCTATATCAGACACTGAACGCAAAGGCCTGGCTCCGGACCAGGGTGCAGAGAGCCTCTGATGACGCAACTTCGGGTCCCACCACGCTTGGAAACGCTGCGTGAGAGGATTTTCCTTCACGTGCGAACGTACGCATGAACCAGAGGGGACCCAGGGAGAAAACAATAAAGGCCTGGCAGGATTGACCCCCAAGGAAGGGATTCAAGAATCCAGGCAGGTAGCTTGGTCAAAAGCACCATGGATGATGGGGTGGGGCCAGGGGCACCTTGGAAACTCAACCTGGCTCTTCTGGCTCGGAGGGGTTCAATCCATGGTCCAAGAGACACCTTTAAGCACCTGCATCTGCTCCCAGCAAAGATAACTGGGTGGGCGAAAGGGAGAGTTATTGGGAAGAGGGTGGTCCTTCGCTGGGTGGGAGCTGTGGATTAATCCACCCCCTGCTTTAAAGAGGGAGGTGGGGGGGAATGTCTGACTGAGGGGAGAGGGTCCAGGCCGGGTTACATTCCTTCCTAGCCAGTGTGCAACCAAGTTCAGACCCTTCATGCCACAGCCCAGTGCAGCGGGCTTTCCCAGCAGCCTGCAGCTCACAGGTACCTGCCCCATTGGCACCCCCAAAGCTCTGCAGGGCACGGAAAGGAATGGGACCCAACAGCCCAGGAAATGGGGAGGGAGAAAGGAAAGAGGAAAAAAAGAGTGAAGGGGGAAAGGATGGGAGAGATCAGAAGGCAGAGAGGGAGAAAAAGGATCAAGGAGGGAGATGAAAGGATGGAAAGGAGACAAGGCTCTGCAAGGGGAGGGGAATGGCAGCAGCAAAGACAGAGACTCACTCACCAACCTTCATCACTCTCACCGCTGTCCCTAAACTGCACGCTCAGCTCCCTTCTCCCAGCACCATCCACCTGGCCTTGCTCCTGGGGAGCAGAAAAACACCAGTTAACACGACGGGCCGAGGAGTAATCTGGCCTCCTGCCCCACAATGGCAGGGGAGGCTGTAAGCGAACAAGCTGGGGCAGCAAGGCCGCGTCTCAGAGGTCCACATGAGGGGCACACAGCTGAGGGGCGCTGCCAGCTACTCCACTCCCAGGAGGCGGTGCTGGAGGGAGCGGGGCAGCGGAGCTCCTGGGTTCCCACATGAGGGAGGAATTCCATTCTGCATCTGTTCTAATGGGAGCAGGATTTGGCCCTAAAGTCCATGGGGGCAGGGGAGCACACATTAGGTAGGTAAGTGAAATCCCTTCCGTGGTGGGGGGAGGGTTCATACCCCACCACCACCCTCTCACCTCATCCGTATGCTCTGTGCTCTGCCTTCTCGCAGCCGAAAACCTTCCAGAGCCTTCCTGGGAATGGCTCATTTGTTCCTAGAGAGAAGGCAGGAGCCAGGCCCATGAGAACGTGAAGGAGTTCACCTCTATCCCGGGGTAGAGCCGAGAAACACACGTGGCGCATTTCCTACTAAACCTAACACCAGAAACCAGCCAGGCAATGAAGAGCCCTCAGTAATGCGTAGGCTTCACGTTGCCGGTGGAGAAATAAATAAATCCCCGTACAGAAATAAACACCCCTGTGCTTTGGGATCCTTTGAGGTGAAGGTGGCTGGAGAAATCCAGAGTTGGTGCATTATTGAAATGTATTGATTGGTGTTATGAGACAGAGCAAGCGATGGGAGTTAACCAGCTCATCATGGGCCGCAAGGTGACCTAGTGGCTGGGAGGCACACACCTCAAATTGCACCAAGTGGCCGACCTGACCATGGAAGGGGGGAAGGAAATTAAGCCCCCACACTCCTCCCAAATTCAGGTCCAACTCGGAGACAAACGTCACTATACATACTCTAAACTGGTTTTAGGCTATTCAGATGCCATTGGGAACAAGCCAACTATACTGCCCCCTGCTGGCGAGAGCAGAGATGAACCACCTGGAGTGTGCATTGTTGGCAAGGCAAAGCTGATGCACCACAGTGCCCCCTACTGGGGAGGAGAGATGTGAACTACTGCTGACAAGGGCAGAGTCACTGAAAATGGCTGAATGGGGCCAATGGGAACGGGTTAGGGCACTTCTGGGGAGCACAGAGGGACCCAAATGTCCTTCTGGGTTAAACACCCAGCCTACCAAAACCAAGGGCACAGCAGGTCACTGGATCTGTGCCGACCAGCCTCCTACTGAGCCTGGAGGCACCCCGAATGCGGGGGCAGCTCATGCTTGGCAGAACCAGTGGGATATGGCAGGAGTTGCCCTGGAAAACCGTAACAGCTCTCTGCTTCTCCCCAGCACAGGCTGCAAACCCCTCCTGCCCCTAACCTGTTACCTGCATGTGAAGGTAGCGCAAGTCTGGCCAGCTGCTGCCTCAGTTGCTCTTCACTGAAAGGAAGGGGGAGTCAAGGTTAACGAGCAAGACACTCCACCAGCAGCAAGAAGCCCTTAAAGGGCCAGTGATGGATTCTCCCCACAGCTGCCCTTCCATGGGCTTGACCCACAGCACAGACCTATGCCCAGAGGCAGGCAGAAGGCATCCCCATCGTGAACCCAATTCCGCAGCGCTATGCCATCGAGGTGGTGGCGGGGAGAGGAAGTCCTCCTGGATCCTCCACCTCTCGGTAAGCCTGAGGCTAGCCCCTCTCCAGCCCACTCCGCTGACACCATTCGCCTGGCATGTGCGCCGCGGTCCTTACCCTTTCGATGTCACCCTTTCACGCCCGCTGCAGCAGGTGCAAGCCAACCAATGCTGCAGACTCCTTGCTTATGACCTCTCCCTCCCCGGTGAGCGAGGCACAGAGACGCTCTCCAAAGCCATTTCCAAAAAGGAATGAGTCACCGGCCCACGACGACATTCGCATTCATCGCTTTTCACCCAGCTGCCAAACGGACCTAGCATCCCCTGGCTACTTAAGCGCCAGCGTCCTTCCAGGAGGCATGAAAACAACGCAGCTGACGATGGAGCAAGAGTGCCATCTGATGGGAAAACTGCCACACTGCAGGCATCTCCCCCCAGGCATGTTCTTATTTCCTAGGCATAGACCTCACTGCCCTGCGGCAAGGAGCCCAAAGGAATCACAGAATATCAGGGTTGGAAGGGACCTAGGAGGTCATCTAGTCCAACCCCCTGCTCAACGCAGGACCAATCCCCAACTAAGTCATCCCAGCCAGGGCTTTGTCAAGCCTGACCTTAAAAACTTCTAAGAAAGGAGATTCCACCACCTCCCTAGGTAACCCATTCCAGTGCTTCACCACTGGAGTTGATAACAAGCCATTTATTTTCCTTAAGAGTGCAGACTGATGTTCAAACACACAGGAGAGAGTCTCTCTCTCTCACACACACACACACAGGTACTGCCATTGCCAGGCTGCCAACCGGGTGTAATAGACAATCGGGGGGGAGGGGGGAGCAATACACATACCATGCTGCCTTGCCTTACCCACCCATCCCTCGTCACCAGCGAGAGAAGGACAAAGGTACCAAAAGGCGTTTGGCTCAAAGGAAGCTCTTGCATGGGTACGTTCAGACCCCAGTGCATAGTCTCATCAAGCCACGGGTGTTTAGTGGTTGGAGCAGGGAACAGATTTGAAAACTGGCCATGGCAGAGTGTGACGCCTAGCAGGTAGAGCCGGGGTCTCCCAGGTTTTATTCCTGGCTCAGGCAAGGAGTGGGTGACCCCACTTCGTGCCTTTACCTCTCCCGGGTTTTCCCACTCCGAGGCTGGATCCTGGGCTATAGCACCCTGCGTAACAACTACACGTACCCTGCAGGTCCAAATGGATTCAGGCACCTGCCGTTCTTCTCTTCAGGAGTCTGGCGGATCAGCAGAGATCGGAGTGACCAAGCAGCCTTCTCAAACCCAAGTATTGCTTACCCTAACAATAGAAACAAAGCAGTTAGAGAATTTTAGAATGACAGGCTGCGTGCAGGTCTGTCTTACCCAACGGCTTACTGGGGCAACTGGGGCAGGCCTGACATCTTCAGAAACCCGCAGCAGGTGCCCGCAGCTCAGTTTGGTTCCATAACACCTCTCTTGAGAGCGCGTGCCCCTTTTAAGCCCTGCTAGAGTGTCATCCCCCACCCCACTGTTCCTGGGCTTTGACACTTCTGGACAACGCCTCCTCCCCTGCCCTCAGACAGGCCCAGCAGGAGATCATGCCTGAGTCACCAGAGCCACTGGCTCTGCCCTTGTCCCTTAAAAATTCTCAGCCATTTGTTGAGGGGTGGCTTTCTCCTGCCTGCTTGTTTTTCCAGACAGACCCCTATAAACATAACCAACCTATGCAGACAGTAAACCTCCCAATAACCTGGTCAACAGAGCAGCTCCATGTCCAGGCTCCTGGATTGCATCCCACCAACTAGTGCATGACCTGGGGCAAGCCACATCCCTCTCTGTGCCTCAGTTTCCCCCTTTACAAAGGGGACTAAGTTGCTGCCTTCCTTTATACGGTACTTTGAGATCTATGGACACACGGCACCTACACAAGAGCTACATCTCTGCTGTATACGGAAGAGAGAAAGCCTCTCAAATGTGGTATTTTTAAACTGTTTCTCACCCAGCAATGACTCCCCACTCCTCTGCTTAGCATGGAGTCGCCAGTGGGGAACGAGGGGGTGGGGGACGTTTGAATTCAGGATGCTGTTGCTTTGCTGTTTGGCTTCACACTGTTCCTCAGGGAGGAATTCATTATTGACATGGCAGGGAAAGAGACGAGGGAGATTTCTGCGCCGCTCTGACGCCAGAGTTTCCCTCAGTGGCTCCATTCTCACCATCCTGCTGTTTAACTCCCCTGCTGAAATCACCAGCCAGCCACCTGCCTCAGAGACTCTACCCAGAAAAAGTCCTAGAGACCCCACCAACCATGGATAATTTGGGCTCCTTTAAACTGTGGCCTTCTTCAGGTGCTTACCCTCTGTGTGCCTCAGTTTCCCTATGAGGGTGGGGTAATGATATTGCTCTTACAGAGGGGATGAGAGGATTAATGGCTTTGATTCATCTAATAGAAGGCACTTGTGTGTGTTCCAGGTACCTACTGTTCTGTCTACTTTATGGCTCCAGCTTAATCATAAAGCTTTAATTGGAGGATTTTTTTTTTTTTTTAAATCAGCAGATCTGGTGCGGACAGAAAGGTGGCAGGCTGACAGCCCTGCTTTCTCTGTCTGTCCACAACATGGACAGCCTGGCCTGTGACCAGGCAAGCTCCTAATGCACCTCTGCCCCTATGCCTTAATCAGGGCTAGGAGAGACCCTTTCCCTTGAGATGGGAAAGGAGCTCAGTCTCTGGGACCACCCCAGCAGCTGAGATAGTCAACAAGGGGAGGAATGAGTGCCCCCGCGGTGGTGGGTTTGGCAGCATGGACCGGTCTACTGGGAACTGAGGCCCACCTGACTCATGACACCAAGCCCCCATCACGTGGGAACAACTTTCTCTGCGCGAACCTGGGCTGGATTCAAACGGCCATTGCAGAGGGAACTGGCGCTGCATCCCCTTGCCAGCCACCCTCAAGGAGCCAGCTCCAAAATGAACATCTGAGCCCAGCACATGTGTTTTCCAAGCAGCGACTACAGCTGGTGACTTTGCACCCACCCTTTTCCCTTGACAAAGGGGAAAGCGAAGCAGTTTACCCCGAAGCGGGTCTCACGGACAGACGCATTTCCTGGCACTGGAAATAAAAACGGCACATTCTGCAGTGAGCTGGAAATGCAGCAGGAGCCCAGATACCCCAAGGATGGGCACAGGGTAGATACATTCAATGAGTATGTATGAAGAGGAGTGGATAGATATACTGATGAACAAAAGAGGGAATCCGTGGATGGTTGGCTAGACTGATGGGGAGAGAGAAAAAGATGGAGATAGATAAGTATATATGGAGGTAAATGAGTCGGTATAGACAGGTAGTAAGACTTGGTGAGGAAAGAGTTAATCTGTATTGTACAGAAGGGAGCCAAAGGTCTTCTTGCTGTTTTATTAGTCGTATTATCGTTAATAAGTTTCCCTGCAACTATATCGTCCCACTGAAGCAGCTGAGGGTTTACATCAGCGCTTTGTTTTGTTAAAATGTTGCAGAAACGAATAAGCCAGTGTGATGGGCATAGGATTGTTCGGGAGAGGAACATGGTACACCTGGAGGACTACAGCATCAAGGGGGCACGCAGTCAGAGGGGCACAACTGACCAAAACAATCATTAAAAATATAGACTAAGAAAACATCTGGAAGAGTCTGATCTATGATCTAACCAACAAGGCTCCTGCAAAGGAAAATCGTGTCTCACTAACCTATTAGAGCTCTTTGAAGGTGTCCGTGACCTAGCGGATACAGGAGAATGAGCGGACGTAGCTTGCAAAGGATACGTTTACATGTACTTGGTCCTACTTCGGTGCAGCGGGCTGGACTAGACGGCGTCTCGAGGTCCCTTCCAGCCATGTATTTCTAAGACTATGGGTAAACTGCAATCATGGGGCGTGGCTGCAGCTCACGTCAACCTTTAACCTCGCTACCTCAGGTACCAGAGCAGAGTAAGCCCTGGCAACATGGGCATTAGTGTGGGCTAGCTGCCCTAGAATGACCCACTGTTCTGGGAGGGGTTGGACAGCCCACCCTGAAGCCCGTCCTACCGCTGCTTCGCTGCCCTGGCACCAGAGATCGCTAAATTAAAACCAGCTCAAGTACATCTATACCACAAGCTGCAATCACACCCTGGGACTGCAGTGTAGACAGACCCTTAGGCTTTCAAAGGCTATTAGGGACATTTAGTCCTGGGATCAGTGGCAAAGTATTGGCAAGGAACAACAGCCCTCCTTAGGGTCTTGTTTAGTAACTTACAGCTCTAAATTAAACAAAAAAAATCTCCCCTCCAGCCATAAGATGTGCACCGTCCCAAACTCCTGTCAGGTTCAGGTCCTTTCTGCCCAAGCAGGCTACTCCCAGCCCTTCCCATCTAGAGCAACTCCCCTGGTTTCAGGGTTTTCCCTGCAGGAGCCTCTCTCGCTCTGAAGTCTCCCCACAGCCTCCTGAGCTTCCCCCTCCCTCTGCAACTTCCTACTGCCCTTTACAGGGGAAGCCCACTCCTCCATACCCAGCTGGTTCTGAAATCCGATTAAACCCCACAGCTCATCCAGGTGTGGCAGGCAGAGCTAGTGGTACTGGGCAGGCCAGCTCCAGGCATCTGGATGGGGTCTGGCACTCCTTGAGCAGGACTGAAAATCCCACAGAAAACCACTGCAGCATTTCCCTCAAACAATATTGGGTTGATGCAAGAACACCAGGGAGCTTTGGGGTTAATTTAATCCCAACAAGTGGGTTTAAATCATGCATACAATACAGCAGAGGAGATGTATGGGAATCCCAGTTGTCAGCAGCCAGGATTTATGCAACAAGAGTTGGATAAAGGACTCTGCCACTTCAGTATTAGAGAGGATTAAAGGAAGGAAGCATTGGCGCACGAGGACACCCAGGGACATGTAAGAAGATACAGACCCCGTATTTATCAGATTACAGTTGGTATTGTTTCCTTCGTAACTAGGTTACTGCTTTCATTATAGGGCTATGGCTCTTTATATGAGGCCACTTAATCATCTTCGGAAAGAACTTTGGGAACTATGGATGGAAGCTACTACTTAGGTTTAATAATGAACGAATACGTGAAACTTCTGTGCCTCAGTTTCCCCATCTGTAAAATGGGGCTAATGACCCTGACCTGCTTTGTAAAGTTCCCTTTCCAGATGAACGATGCTTGGCAAGTGCCAAGTGTCATTATTCTCCACTAGGGCCCCACTTTAAACATCATCAACATGAGTCGTCCTACTGATGTCAAACAGGACTCAAGGCCCCAGTTCTGCAACTAGATCCACAGGGCTGGGGTGGGGAGGGTGCCTGGCGCAGAGCAGAATAGTTTGTGAATAGGATTGTTGTATATTCTGGAAAGGTGTGATCTCTGAGTATTGCATATTGCTGAGCATTCTCCCACTGTTAGAATAAATAAGTGAGATTTCTGGTGTATGTTTTATAAGGCTTGGAAGGAGTAGCTTTATCAGTAAATTGTCAGTAAACATCAATTTCACCCTACACACAACCGACTACAAAATATTTCCATGCAAAATCAAAATGTACAGATAGGAAAGAAAGAAAAATGCTGCTTGAAAACGTGGAGTTTGATTTAAGGATATTGAACTTGTATATTTTGACATGGGATGTTGACAATTTGTTTTTACAGTTATAAAGCTTTCACTTATTGAATTGCAACATCTACAGTCATTAAATTATTACCTGATCCACCCAACCCCATAGTTTCCCACAATTGTGAAGGTTTAAAAATCAGAAAAAATGCTTTAAAATAAATAGACATTATCCATTGAAATTATATAAAAAATTGAATTCTACCAAGCCTCTTTATAAGGTATAGCTTGGGTATGTGATTTAAGGAAATCTGTTTCATAATGGTTTAAAGAGTGAAAAAGGAAATAAAAAAGCCCATGTCAATCTAACAGTCGATGCAGGACAGTGTAATGGTATGTTACACAGTGACTTGCATACAAGCCATATGCCCTCAGGCCAGTTGCGCCCAGGATTTGGAAGGACCAAAACCTCATCCGTGCAACAATTCCTCGCTGATGCCAACACCGGTTCAGCTCTGTGGTATTAGCAAGACTGGGATCCCTAGCACCGACCGTCCACCAGTGTTCGAAGCACCACTGTCCCCCAGTCCAGTTCCCACTGAAGTTAGCGGAAAGATGGTTATTGATAACAACGGGAGAGAGATCAGACCCCCCAGGGTCCAGTCCGACAGATCTTAAAAGCCAGCAGTCAGCCTAGGCCAGGCAGCCCAATGTTCTTAAGAGGGGCAGAACTAGTGTTAGTCCTGGGAAAGTGTCCCTAGAGCAGAGAAGGCCAGGGAGCAGGCGATTTCTAGATGAGTGACAATCTAGAAACAGCAAGACAAGCCAAACTCATATGGTAGAGTATGAGACGAGCAAAGCTGGTACAGTGGAGTATGATGATCAGAAACGTGCAAATTGCCTATTCTTACTATTTGCATTGCGGTAGCACCTATGAGCCCCAGTCGTGGCCCAGGATCTTTTGGTGCAAGGTGCTGTATAGACACGGAACAGATAGATGGTCCCGCCCCAAAGAGCTTCCAACCTAATAAATAATACCCAGCTCTTATCGAGCACTTTTCATTAGTAGATCTTAAAGTGCTTTACAAAGGTCAGTATCATTATCCCCATTTTACAGCTGGAGAAACCGAGGCAAAAGCTAATACATCTGTAAGACCTAAATCTCTCCTCCCGATATCTATCGATCAGTTCAGTGACTACCAAGTAGCTCCCCGGGTACTTACCTGTGGGAGCCTGCCAGGTGGATCAATATGTAGATTTTGTGGGGTGACCCTACATTGATTCCTGAACTCCAGCCTGCCGGGGATCCGTCAGTGGAGTGAGGTGGGAAGCTAAAGACAGAGAAAGAGAAGGAGTGCTGCAGAGGGATGACAGCGCTCTCTGGAGCTCATCGGGTGCTGCGCAGCCCTACGGGTGAAAGAGACAGTCAGAGGGGTACCAACACCATGGACAGGGAGCAGAATTCTTCGTCTGGGAAGAAGTCAGCGTCTGAAACAGAACAAGCAGGCAGGGAATGTGCTGATCTGGGGGTTCCTTTAGGAGGGGTTCCCCCTTACTCCAGAGGGACAGGGATTCTGGGTTTGTCCTGCCGTCCCCTCACTGCAGAACCCCAGTGTGATCTCGGGGACAGACCAAGAACTCAATTCAGCCCCAGCCAGCCTTGGCGTGGGCAGCTCATTGAGGGGAGGGACAGGTCAGGAGTCACCTCCAAACGGTTCCTCCTGCTGGAGCTAGAGAGCTACATCCATCAGCCGGAAGCAGCGGCAGGGTAAGGACCCACACTCCCCTAATGGGGGTTACACAGGGCCCTTTTGAGCAGCCTCCACAACCCAGTCAGACACACAGGCACCCCACCTCCGTCAAGGCTGATGGGGCTATGGACGAAGGCCTCACATGTCATTTTAGGGGGGCACCCCACAAACCTGTGGGGGCAATGCACTGTGATCTGTAGCATCTCTATGGCCCTGGGAGTCTGTGACAGACACCCCATTTCACACCACACCTGCAACTCTGCCCTCCTCGTGCTAAACCACAGACCCCAGGCCCCCTCTGGGCCTCTCTTGTGGTTAACGCCCTACAGATCCTCTTTGGACCCGCTGGGGAGTGAGCAGCTCTCTGCCCTCCTAGCTTGCTCTGCCGATGCCCGTTACCCTTGCTCCCTGTGGTCTCTGTTGCCAGGGGGACATACAGGGCAGCCTGGCTGAGGACCCCAACTCTTCCAACGGCCGCTGTCACCACCATCCCTTCCCAGCGCTGGGGACCAAATATTCCTCTGAGCCCGCTTGCCCCAGTCCAGAGCTGCCTGTACCCTGATGTGGCCTGTCAGGGTCTCTTCTAAGGCCGTCCCTGGCCCCACCATCCCCCCTGCCGGCTCCCCTGCACCCCGGGGCAGAGTGCTGGCACACCCAGGGCAGACTCCTCCAGGGCTGCATGCCAGATCCCTCCCCTGCCCAGCCTTGGCGCACTGAGCCACTCCACCTCCCTCATGGATAAACCCTGCAGGGAAGGGGGGCCAGCCTGAGAGAGCTGGCACTCTGAAGGGGCCCAAGCCCAGCCCTGCCCCTTGTTGCCAGCAGAGAGGCCGGAGAAGGCCTGAGGTTTGGGGTGCCCCCTGAGAGACACCCTAGAAGCCTGGAGCCTCAAGGCAGGCCCTGGGTGTGCACGGCAGATGACCCCCTGCCTCCAAGTATGCCCCCACCCAGAGCCCTGCGCCCAGCCTCCCCTCCTCGCCTACCTTCGAGCAGGTCTTTGGCTCTGGGAGGAGGGACCGTCCCCTAGAACAGGGCTTTGGAGAAGCAGGCAGTGGAGACGGTGGGCCTCGGGAGAGCTCCCTGCCGCTGCAGCGCTGTGCCCAGTGGGACATTCTTCTGCTGTGGGAGCATCTGTTTACGGCTGCTCCCTTCCCACAGCCTGGCTTTTTCTCAGTTATATACACAAAGCTCACCGCCATGCTGCCCCTCCCCTGCCAAGCCCACAAGCCCAGGGCAGGGGGCAGGCAGGGCGCTAGGCAAGCTAACAACCCTCTAGCCCCTTCCACCTACTGATCTCCAATCACTTGGCAGACTAATGAACTAAGCCTGACAATGCTCCCCCCACCCTCACCCCAGGAGGGAGCCAACTGATCCCTTTCTGACAACTGGGGAAACTGAGGCACACAATACATGACCCTAGACAAGTCACTTCCTTTCTAAGTCAGTGGCAGAGACAGGGATCAAACCCAGGTCTGCTGCTAGCCCTTTGCTCCCACCACAAGGAATCGAACTCCTCCGAGTCTCAGACAGAGAGAAACGCAACATTGTCACCCCCACGCTCTCAAGTGGCCCCTGTTCCCCTGCACCACCAGGTCTCTCTTGTTGTGTATGAGCCAGTCTTGGCGTCATCTGATCCCAGCTCACTCCTCTCCACCACCAGGGAGAGACCCTCCTCCCCTGCAGCTCCTGCCATGCAGCCTGCAACCTCCCTGTTTCCCTCGGTCACCTCAGTGGTCCACCTTGTTTCAAAGCTCAGCTGCAAACTCCTCCTTACACCTTTGCCTCTAACTTCTCCCATCCCGGCTAGCGTTCGTTACAGGGGAGGGTGAATAGGGGGATCAAGCGCTGGACTGGGACTCAGGAGACCTGGGCAAGTCACTTCCCCTCTGTGGGCCTGTTTCCCCAGATGTAACACTTGCCTCCGGTAGAAACGTTTAGGTAACAACCAAGCCAGGGCCCATTGTGCTAGGTGCAGGATAGTCAGTACCAGTTCCTGCCCTAAAGAACTTACAATCTAAAATATACACTTGCCCTGCCTCACAGGACTGACGTGAATCTTAGTTCATGAAGGCACTTTGCAATCTTCCCAAGGAAAACGCTGGAGCAGGACAAGGTATGGTCATTTTCTGGGGCCAAGCGTTTGGTGCCATACCATTCTATGGCACTGTGTCAAGACAAGGGGACTCCAGGCAGCAGGCAGGTGGGGGCGAGGGGGGCTCAGGCAGGGTAACGCCCACTGGACTACTCCTCCACCTCCTTGAGCTCTCCTCCCGCCGCACCCAGCAGACTCCGTGCTGTTCTGCTTGCTACCGAGAATGACGGCCCAGTGGCTCTGCCAGCGATTGTCTCTGTGGCCTTGGGTAAATCCCTTAGTCTCTGTGCCTCATTTCCCCCATCTGGATAACGAGAAGGACCTACCTTCCAGGGGCCGCGAGGATGCATTCGTGCTTGGAGCGTGCTCTAATGCGGTCAAGGATTAAGCATTCATGAAGATGCTGTTTCTGCTCGGGGCAGAGCAAGACGTCTCCCAGTCAGGCCAGGCCGCTCCAAGAAGCTGATCTCAGGCTTGCTCTCCTTGGAATGTGCTTTCACTGCTCCCAGCTGCTAAAGAAGCCCCTTGTTTATAAGCTGCATTGCCGCCTTGTAAACACTGCGCGCTTGCGATGCTTTCGGCTCCTTCCAGCCATTTGCCAGCAGAGCTCAAACCCCTTCAGGAAAGGGCTTCTTGCCCGTGGCACTTGGAAGGGGAGAGTGCGGAAGCTCCGCACCTGGGAAGGTGAGGCATTACTGCCGGGTCGCAGGGGAGACCGTGGTACTGACCCAGCATAGAAATGGTGAGGGAAGCCAGCTGCTCTCTCCAGAAAACTGGACATTTGTCTCCCAAGGATTTCATTAGCACGAGTCAAGATGTTTATACTGCAGCTGTCTCCATAGTAACCCCATATCTTCCCCCCCCCAGCATTGCACCACTACTGCCCCCACTGTACAGTAAACCCAGCTGTCCCCAGCAAAGCAATGCAGCAGGCCTAGTGCACCCCGCCCCCCGCCATTTCACCCCATCCCCTGCCACAACAGGCCCCAGATTTCATTTCCCCTAGCACTGCACCTGCCCTCCCTGTAACCCCCCACTCTCTTGCCAGCAGCGTAATGCAGCTGCCCCAACTGATCAAATCCCATTGCAGCCCACAAAGCAGCTTGTTCCCTTAATAAGATTAAAGCTACAGTCTGGTGGATGGCCTTAGGAGCTAAAGAGGAGCAGCTGCCCCAGGCAGGAGAGAGAGACCTGTGCAGTCTCAGGGCAGATACAGCCCTAGAGCACAGTCACCCAAGCCTCCCGGCCCAAGGGGAGTAGCAACTCTGCCCTTTCTGAGACTTGCTATTGAAATCCCAGGACTGTAACACTCAACCCTCCTGGTGCTGCTGCAGGGGGAGGAACAGGCCAACGGCTCCCCAGATGACCAGCCAAGAAGTATGCAGAAAGATCACGCTGTTTGGAGGGTGTGTCCACACAGTAGGCTCGGCCCCCTCTTCCGGCTCCTCTGGAAACGCTCACTGAGGTTCTGGCTGCACCTCCTGATCTAGGCACACCCCAGCCCCGGCCTCACGAAGTCGTGGGACCTTCTCGGCTGGTCAAGACGTCCATCCAGCACTGCAGGAGGACGACGACGGAGGACAGGGGGTGCTCTGCAGCTGTGGGGCCTGTATCTGTTCCCTCATTGGTTCACACCTCCAGGCTGAGTTCCTCTGTGGCGTCCCCTGACTCCCTAGACGCCTTTGAGCGGCAGTGGGCACTGCCTGGGGACCCCTGTTCAGTGTCCCCCTCTGGTTCCCTGATTTTTAACCTCTGGACCTCACTCATTCCCCTTCGTTGTCCCCAGGACTCAACTGCAGCCTGGACTTGGCAGTTCCTACCTCTTTAGTTGAGGGGCTGGGCCTTTACTTTTGGACAGGCCTAGACCCACCTGTCCCAGCCCTGCAAATAGTACAGTAGGCGTGGTGTGTTATTGCCAGACAGCCACACTGAGAACCCTTACAGGTACACGTAGGCATGCACTGAACCCATGCTGGTGTGCTTGGCAGTAGGGCAGAGAGCCTGCTGAGCTGTGCCCACATCCCTACCTGCCCACTTTGCAATGGGGAGGCAGCAACAGCCCAGGTAGCTGGGCTCCCATTTACACAGTCCTCCAACTCCTCTCTACAATTCCCTGTCCCTGTATCTTCTACCTACTTGCTTACCACGTGCTCTCCATGCCCCAGAAACTGCCTGCCAGTTAAGACACTTCAGATTGGCTCAAGGCGCAAAATTTGGATCAGGCTTCCAAAACAACCTCGATGTTCAGACCTCGATTAAGGTTTCAAAACATCCCCCGAGGATTGGGGTGAGGGAGGTTACTGCTTAAACGCCACACACCCCACCCAGAAAAGCAGGACTGCCAGAACATACTGAATTCTTAGAGGAAGTAACCCCAGAAATGTTCTTAAGGCCCTAATCATAAAAAGACCTACTCTTATGCACTGGAAATAGGCCCATTGTCTTATCTGCAAGATCATGGCCTTCTAAAGGCCTGTTAACCCTTCCAGGTTTGGATTGTCCGTATGGCACCTAGCACAGCTGGGCACTGGTCATCATTGGGGGCCACCCAGGGTACAGTAATACTAGTAATTAGTAATAAAAGCTTAGGAGGGTTTGTGATTGATAATGAGGGTTCATCACAATTAGTAAACATTTTTGAGATGTTTGAGAGCTGAGCAGAGCTATATGAGAGCTAAGTATAATTACTGTGGGTGGACTGAGATCTCGCTTGGACATTTTGCAAGGCGTAATTGTCAAGTTTCACCCCCTTCTTTTCATACTCTGAAGTCTTTATTGAAAGCAAGATTTCTCCTCACCCTCTCCCTGTTCTCTCTCTCTCTCTCCTTTCTTTTGATGTTGATGCCTTAGGGTCACACCAACTCTGCATTAGTCCACTATACAGTTCAGAGAGCAACCCAGCCCCAAGAAAGAAAATGCAAGTCATCTCCCAGCACATAAGCCCTTGCAATATTGAACCTCTCCCTACAGCACTCCTTCATCATCAAGTTTTTGGAGAAACTGGAGGCAAGGCAGGAAACATCTGATAGATGCCAGATCATCCACAGGTTAGGGCACTAGCACGGGCACGGAATAGCAAGCAGGGGAAGGGGTCTGCAGCTCAGGACTGAAGTGCATGATTAGACAAGTGGGTGAGAGGAAAGATGGCCTAATGGTTTGGAAGACCTCGGTTCAAGTCCCTGCCTTACAACCAACCACTGGCAACCTTAGGCAAGTCACTTAGTCTCTGCGTGCCTCAGCTCCCACTGTGTACAATGGAAATAGCCCAGCCCTCCCTCACAGGCATGTTGTGAGGACAAATACAGGAAAGATGTTCAGGCATTAGGGTGAGGGGAACCACGTAAGTACCTGAGTTAGAATCCCAAGATCTGCAATAGGCAGAAGCCAAGTCACAGGTGCTGTTGATAAGCAATAAAATAGAGCAGCATAACTCTTTATGAATACTTTAACACCTGTGTAGTGCTTTTTACCTGTAGCTCTCCGCATTTTCCAGTTGGCTTCTATACATGAACATTAAACATCCATCTTTAAAATCTAGTGCCTGGCTGTTTTAAAGCTCTTTCCAAAGGTTGGTCAAAAGCTTTAAAACGGAGAAATGGCAGTAAAGAGAGAGATCAAGTCAATTACTGAGGAGTCAGTAACAAAACTAGAGAACAGAACCCAGGAGTCCAGACCATCCATCTGGCTCCCTCTCCACTGAACTCTGTCTTCTCTAATCCATTAGCAACACAGTGAGATAGGTTAGACACAAAAGGTAAGATTTAGCAAAAAAATTGTCTAGTACAATTTTAATTTACATAAAAAACTTAAATATTCACTTCCTTAGGAGTTGCAACCAAAGGAGTACATACTAGGGCACGGAAGTGAGAAGGGCTTGTTTTCATGATCCAATGTGAAGGAAGAGCAACAAGTAAATAGATAATCTTAAAGAATTCAACAGAAAGAGGAGGTCAGCTAAGGGTAACAACGACAGATACACCAGGATCGAGAGATTTAACTGAAGGGTCAGGCGTTTCAAAGATGGAAAAGAGGGGACATGACCAAAATATATAAAATAGATGGTTTAGGGAAAGTAAATGGGACACCCTCCTGTAGACTGACTTTTTCTTCGATGTCCAGTGTTGTGGAACCTGTGGAACTCCTTGCCACTGTAGACCACTTTGGCCGGATCAGGCATTTGCATGGATAACTGCCACAAAACACAAGACAGGATACTCACTGCAGTGGTTCAGAGCTTCTCTCCTCCAGCTGAGAGTAGAGACAGCCTCCTTCCATCCCCCCACCCTGGCCCCCCAGGGCTCAGAGCAGCAAAGGGACCTGGCATGAGAGCCTGCCTCCCCACACACCCCAATACCACAGGGGTGCAGAGACACCTCCATATTGGAGGGCAAGAAAGACCAAACATCCATTGACTCCTGAGCAAACCCCTCGGGGGGTTTCAGTTCCATGCAGTCCATCCCCCGGAGACAGCACCTTTGCTATTAAGGTTGTTGGATCAGGCCTTACCCACACTGTTCCCACATAGGGGGGACCCTAGTTGTGAGCAAGAAGCCAAAAGGGGAGGGCCCAGGTTAATACACATCAACAGCTAAAGCAGGCCATGAACTCCCCAGTACCATGCTCCATCCATGAGCTGAACTGCTGGCCCGGTCCTGCTGGAAGGGTCAAATGTTATTTTTGCAGCACCTAGAAGGTGCATCAAACATAAAGACAAACCCTGTCCCCAAGCGCTTACAATCTAGTAATCAGTGTGGCGTGGGCACGAAGGGGGCATTTGCTCTAGCTGCCTCTGAGGATTTACAAAGCCCAGCATTGAAATGAACAAGAGATGTTCCCACTTGATCAGTACCAGCCCGGCTGGCTGGTTGAGACCTTATAGACCAAGCCTCTGTACTCTGCTCTCTCAGTGCCTTGGGTCTAGTAATAAAGATTTCCCTTTAAAGCTTGCTTTAAATCTAGACATAATGGAGCCTGCCCCAAATGAAAGCATTAAAGCACCCCATGCAGACACACATTCCAGCTAAGCATCATTAACAGAGACAGTAATAACCTGATAGAAGACTTCCACAGGCTCCCTCAGGCATGAGCAGCACAGCAGCCGCTTTCTCTGGATTTACACGCCTCGAGCTCTGCTGCGAGATCTACCACCCCCTTAACCGATGCAGCCTGCTACAGTCACATCTTCCCAGGCTCCCTTCAAAGCTTCCTTAGCCTGCTTGCAAACAGGAATAACTGTGATGGTGGGGGATTATCCAGTCCTTTGCTTGCAAAGCAAGCTGCTCAGATGACAGTGGCTGCTGATGCTGCAGGCATGATTGGTTAGGTCTGTGCAGAGGGCATGGCTCAGCAACAAGCAAGAAACAAGCCAATGCACCTTATCGTGGCCCTCAAATTCCCCAGCTGGCAACTATCTATTAGCCATCACACCTTCAGCAACAGCCCCCGTAAAACAAGCAGCCAGGAGGAGAGAGAATTTCAGGATTAAGAAGGTTCCTAGCAGAGCCATAGGAAACGTACCCATTCTCCTTGCTCTTGCTTGGAATTTCAGGCCTGAACAAAATCTCAGCTCAAACTTCCCCAAAACAGCTAAGCGCCACCCAATTTCCTATGACTGCAGATGCCACATAATTCTGACACAAAACCTGAACCCGAGGCACAGGGGCATAAACCATACCTGAGCGAGTACTTGCCACTGAAACGCAGCCATGGCCAGGGTGGAACAGGGCAGCTGTTTTAACAGTTGGGAGCAGGAAGTGACCGGTACTGTGTAAAAGAAAGGGGGACTTGAGTAGACAGAATGTAAACACCCAAACTGAAGTTTGGCCAGAATAACGGAGCCAATACCTTTAACCCTTTGGTGAGAAGACAGGATCACAGCCCACCGCCACACAGCTGTAGTCCTATATCCTTTTTCTAGGCTATCAACAGTAGGCAGTGATGCACTAGGTTAACTGCGTCAAGGTAATGACTGAACCCTGCGCCAGCCTTTTACCATGCCGAAAGATAATCCCCAAGTCACCATGGGAGACAGCTGACTGCTGCTCTTGCCATATTTTCTTTGAGCATTGAAAGCTCATAGGATGTCAGTGCTCAGCTCAGGCCACTAGCTGCCCATTGAAGCCACTAAAGGATTTCTGAAGCCATCACAACTCTTACAAGAAGGCATACTCTTTTGGCTCCAGGAGACTGGAGTAAACATTACTAAGCAGGATCTGACGTCTGTCCTTTTAAAATAAAGGAATTGTCTGTATATCAGCAGGAGAGAATTGCAGAGCCGGTACCTCCTCCCTCTGTCAGCATGGTGCTGTACATCCTGCTCACTAACTCTTGGAAAGTTAGAGAGACTCCTGAGAATGTTGGAAAGATTAATAGGTCTTTTTTTGCAAGTGTTTGGCAAGCACTGATTCTCCTCCTGAAACCCCAAAAAATGAATAAGGCATTTTGTTCCCTTGATGGTGCTTCAGTACATTCTGGAAATGAAGGTGAAGATTTATCAGTGACCTGATGAACCGCGAAAGCAGAGTACAGATCCCAGGAAAGGGGATGGGATCAGGGACTTGGTAATAGAACATGAAGAATTTCACCTGTGGGTTTCTACTCACCTTGTTCCAAAGTGCAGATTGGTAGGGATCAGGTTCTTAAAACTAACTGTTGCTCCGTAGCCTGCGGAATTGTGCTCAGTCCAGTTTTAAGGAAACGGGTGCCATTATAAAAGCCACTAAAAGTCTTGAGTAATTAACCCCGTTGTTGGCAGTCTCAGCCAAGCGAGTCCAACTGACTTTTGCCATCTGTACATGAGGTCTCCTCCAAAATTCAAACATATTGGCAGAGCCGGCTGAGGAGAATCTTCTTTGACTAGCCCTTCTGGTCCTGTTCTCTGTGGATACACAGTGTAGGGCTACCTGCCATCTTTCTCTCCTTTACTGAGCGCAGGTAAAGTTGTTTCAAATCATCCACAGACGTGGATTTTCTGCATGCTTTTTCTTTGGAACAAAGCAGGTGACAGGCCAGTGAAACTGGAGGTGCAGTTTTGAATTCAAATATATCCAGTGATCCCTAGTAATCCAAAAACCCACTAAAACGCATTAAAAGATCAATGACACCATGGGAGGATTTCAATGAAGCAGAAAATCTCTGCCAAGACTAGTCAGTGTGGTTTGAAAAATCCATTAACAGTGAGCATTTATTTTTACTGTATTTAAACCTTATTTCTTTATCCTTTTAGAATGAAGTACAGTAAAACAGCCTTACAACCATTTTCCTTTCTTCTATAACAACGAGGTACCTCCCCATTTCACACAGGCACACTGATGAGTTTGCCACTCCCAATGAATTTTCACTGGGAAGGGAACATAACCTGCTATGTTTATTTCCATTCATAGACAGTCAAATTCATGTCTTTCCCAAGAGGTTAGTTAGAAGTCATTTCAGCCCCTTCGCAAATCTGAGATTTTACAGTCATACTCCTTTAGGAAGTTTCTCTCACTCTTACTGTGAAATAGACCCTACAGAGGAAACTGACAATACACATAGTCAAATATACAACGTAAACCAACTGAAAAATAGGGAAAAATATTTTCCCTTCTCATATCTTGAGTTCTTGTCATAAGCGTTCAGAAAACAAAATTCAGGCAGATTTAATATCTCTCTTCATGGTGGCTCTATGAACCCTACCATTAGTTCAAACCTGTGCCTACTTCCCAGTACTCTCAAGATAAAGACCAGTTATGGGTCTATCCATGCTCAGGCTTTGCTGAGCTATAAAATACTACGACTACTTTGGAGTTTACTTTTTTTACACTCCTGGCTGGATTTTAAAACTGATTGGGTGGCAGGGGGGCTGCAGGGTTTATAAAATTCTGTGAAGATATCATTCTAAGAAGGGCTTAAAGAAGGTTTCATCAAAGAAATCTTTCCATGTTGAAGGCTCCTGACTAGCTAGTGAGAGCCTTCAGGATGGGAATCTGCTCATCTCATCTGGCTTTGCAGTTCATCTTTATGAGAAGCCTCCCTGCTGATCCCTGTCATTTAACTGCAGCTGCTCCTCCTCATTTGACTTTAGGTACTCTCTCAATGGCATATGGGTTGCTCTAAAACAGTTTTCAGAGTAGTAGCCGTGTTAGTCTGTATTTGCAAAAAGAAAAGGAGGACTTGTGGCACCTTAGAGACTAACCAATTTATTTGAGCATAAGCTTTTGTGAGCTACAGCTCACTTCATCGGATGCATAAAGTGGAAAGTACAGTGAGGAGATTTTATATACACACAGACCATGAAAAAAATACACATTGTAAGGCCTTTTGGTATGATGTCCATCTGTTTGCATTTGGAAAGGAAGATGATGTCTGTCTGGTTCTCAACCTTTCCAAACTACTGTACCCCTTTCAGGAGGCTGATTTGTCTTGTGTACCCCCACGTTCCACCTCACTTACAAACTACTTGCTTACAAAGTCAGACAAAAATAGAAAAGCGGTACAGCACACAGTTATGAAAAGTTGCTTACTCTGATATTTACCATATAATTATAAAATAAATTGATTGGAATATAAATATTGTACTTACATTTCAGTGTATAGTATATAGAGCAAAATAAACAAGTCATTGTCTGTATGTGTCAAGGCTGATTCCCCGCTCTGGCACTTTGAGTGCAGAAGGTGGAGGCTGCAAGGATTCTAAAAATTAATACTGGCCACTCCAGGCTTGTATTAAACTCCTAAGGTTACTGCTTTTCTCTGACCTTGGCTTGGTAAACGCTGCCACCACCCAAATGCAAAAAAACCCCTTGGACCCAGGAAGGCACACTTAGGAATTCCTCCCTGTGGGGTACCCTCAAGCCCTTTCACTGCCCTCCCCCGGGAAGAGCTGAGAAAGAAAACACAGGAAATTAGCTGTTGCTACCAGCTAATCAAACAACATGCACAAACCTCTCAGGACACCAAAAATCCAATCTTGTTCTTAAAAAAGGTAAATTTATTAAAAACAAACAGGAAGAAAATACATCCGGAACTTAGGCTTTTGCTAGATTTTAAAAGAGCCATTCCAAAAATCAAGCACCCAAAATAGTGTTCTTGAGAGTTCAGCATAAGGTTACAAGCAAACAAAAACATCTGCTGTTAGTACAGAGGAGTCCACAAGTCTTAAAAAAATAAAGAGAAAAACCTAATTGCATCTTTCTAAACATTCCTAATTTACTTACATATGGGGGGGGGGGGTTAAATAAGTAATTCTAGGTATAATCTGATGATTTCTCATACCTGGCTTAAAGCTGCTTACAGAATAGTCATAGCCCTGATTTTGCTCTGTTCCCCTCTTTCCTGGAGCACAACAGACAAAGGAAAAGCTTCTTTCCCAATTTTAAAAAGCTCTAGCCTTCCCATTGGCTCTTTTGATCAGGTGCCCACTCCCTTTTCTTTACCTGGGGGACTTTTTAACCCCTTACAGGTAAAGCAAGCAGAGAACAGCTACCAAGAGTGATTTTAAGGCTAACTGGCTGGCTGTCCTTAAAAAGGAGCTACTCCCCCCCGCCCTTCATTTATCCCAGAATGAAAGTTTAGTTTGTATTGACTTCGCTAGTGCTTTTCACGTAGCCTGTCCTAACGCTAAGCAAATAGCTAGATGAGTTCATGTACACCTGGAAGACCTACACATAACCAGGGGTAAGCGTATCCCTGGGGTTGAGAATCACTGCTCTAAAACCCTGAATCACAAGCAGCTCCAACATAGGTTAAGTTACACACACGTATGCAGGAGGTGACAGACAACAGCAAGGGACAGCAGGGGTTTCAGTCTAGTAGAGTGAGACGACTACTCAGAATGATTGGGAACAAGAGTCCTAACAGGACTGAAGACTCTGCAGATGAGGAGAGAGATGCAGAGTGACTGGGTGCTCTGAAACATTTATTACTGCCAGTTTAGTAGAGGCGCTGTGCTTTCCCCATGGTGCTCTTGATGTACAACATGCACATTCTGACAGTTCTTCAGCAAGAACACCAGGAAGTTGATGGCCAGGTGAAACTTGTAGACTAGCTCATCTTCAGTCATTTTTACATGGCCAACAGCCACTGCCAGACAAAGCACCTGGGGCAGGGAGAAGGACAAGGGCATCATTCAACTCCAGCGGTACAGACTTTATAGTACAGTCAGTTTAAAGACAACCATACAATAGCTTAAGTAAATTCAGTCATCAAAAAATGTATATAATTAGATTAAGAGGTCTGATTTAAATCTTTGGAATCCATCTGCAGGCTGCAATTGAG